TTTTTTAAATTTATTTATTTACTTCTTAAATTTTAATTAAAGTAGGTGCTCAAAGTAACAATATTAAATATTTGTTCGACGACCTCTTTTTTTCGGTTGAACACTCCCGTTTCTAGTAAACTGCTTGACTGTACGGTGAAATGAAGTACGTGATCGAATTTTATCCGGAAAACGCTGAGCGTAGATATTAACAGTATCATCAAGATTCCTGCCTACTTCTCCATAAATCAAAATCATTTCTATTTTTTCTTCCACTGTTAAAAAATCCATTATGAATAACTGCTTAACGAAAGAAAGTCTTTTTGTTTGCAAATTAATCTTCGAACTAAATTGACTAAATAATGCTAAACTATGAATAGTTTCTTTATACCTCAATTAGGATTAAATTAATTAATTGACAAAATAATGTTTTTTTTTACCTTAAATGAGGCATTTTTATTAAAAATAGTACAATAATCCTTTAAATTAAAGGCTTTAATGCTGGCAGGTAAAAAGTGTCCATGGTGCGCAATTGATAATTTTCACCGAATGAAATAATGTATAAAACTTAAACCAAAACAAACTTAAATATTATTTAAAAAATCGTGGGTACTAAAAAATCAGATTTAATATAAAAAAATAATTATTACCAAAAAAAGTGATATTTTTATAGAAAAATATTGCAAAATAGTATAAGAAGAAAAATTTAACAAATTGATTTTTTTTCATTACAGCGCCATCAAAATCTAAGCACAGCACTGGATTCACCACCCCTCAAAACGACCCTTATAGTAATAGTATTATGTTACTATTAGTTTAATTATATTTCAATGTTTTTTCATGGATAACTTGAAAGAATAAATTGTAGTTATTATTGCGCATTTTTTTACCTAAAATTTTTCAATAAATTTAGTATAGGGTCGTTTTGAGGGTTGGTAAATCCAGTGCCGTGCTTAGATTTTGTTTAAAAACTTCGCCAATATGAATTCTTAAAAATTTACTCTTAAAACCTGACCTAATAGGCCTTGTATTTTGTAAAAATATGGCGTTTTATATATTATATACAGTGTTACCCATTTGTTTGCGACTCACCCCTGTAAAATCTTTATTGATTGTGCGATTTTAACCAGTTTTGTTTTAAAGTGTATATCTTGATAAACTGTATTTTTGGAGCAAAAAACGCCATATTTATAGGTATATATATATTATATTTTTTAAATTAAATTTTAAAATTGTTAAATATCTTTTAAATGATTAACTTTAAGTATTGGAAATAGTTTGATTATGTAAAAACATACGGGGTGTTACATTTAAAAGTTATTGACTTTTCAAGTTAAATTATTAAATTAAGTTATAGGCTATTTTTGATTAACGCGCACTTCTCAAATTTTAACAAAAAAAATTAATAAATTTTAACAAAAAAAATTAATAAATCGAAAACTATTCACTTTAGGTATCTATATATTATAATATAATAATAATATAATAATTTTACTCAGAATTTTATTTAGAATTTGAAAATGTAAAAATATATGGTGTGTTCTATTTGAAACAGTTTTTTTGTTCAAAATATTGTAGAAAATAGACAAATGGATTATAAAAGCTTTTAAAATTTTAAAATGATATATTTTTCCATATTATGTAAAGGCAATACAAAATACCTAAAATATTTATTGAAGGACTCCATTACCTACTAAAAATGATAAACAAGTAGATTAACAAATTAAACAATTTTCCATGAAACAGCTTTTTGAATTAACGTATAAATGAACAGGTATTTACATTCAACTGACTAACCCAAATACATAGAGATTGTAATTTTGTTTTTATGCGTTGTATCGATTTACCGCGCTTTTTACTCTAAATTAAATTATCTAGAAAGCATTTTATCCAAATATCATGCGGGAATGTTCGCTTCACCTGTTGCCTGGTATAAATATTTTATTGGTATACAGGGTGTCCCAAAAATGGCACACTATCACGTGATTTTATTAATTATAAAAAATGATATTTTTAGACGAATAGTTTTAGAGTTATAAATCATTAATAAGCTAAAATATTACACTCCATTATTATTTGGTATTACATACAGGGTGTCCAACGTTAATATGATTCTACACTCACAAATAAGAATAAGAAAAAGTTGGTATAAACGCCACAGAAAATATCAAGCGATTGAGAAATTGTTGTATTTTTTTTTATAAAATTGACAATAACATGGTATCGTGTTAGTGGCTCTTTTTATGACATCCTGTATAATATCATTAAATAAAGAACGTCTTATTTATGTAATTAGGTATAAACGTTTTAACTTTTAAATTTTATTTTTTCTTCGTTTTAAAACTATATAAACCTATTGCAGTGTGAATTTTTACAAAAATAAATTGAATATTTGCTGTAAGCAAACAGATGCACATTTTCTTTTTTCTTACAGTACCTAAACATTTATACTACCCATTTGCAAAGAATTGTATTTTCTTGTATAACAAAAGATAAAAGTAAACTGAGTTTTTTAAAGTGTTACAAGGCAATATTTAAAAACGGTTCAATTTTTTTTTGTGAAATTTTAATGAAGAATGGGGACACATAGACATATTTTTTTATGTTTATAAACATTACTATTACTATAGTAATCATAGTTTTTAATACAGGATGATTATTAACAAATTACAAGTATGCATTTGCTATTGTTTTGCTATGCTTTAGTTTTTTGTGTTGTGGCTTCCACTATTTAGCTATTCATATTTTTTCGCTTAGTTTTTGTTTGATTAACATGTTACATAGCACCTGTGTATTTTTGTTAATGCCGTTTTTTGTGCGTCCCGTTGCATTGTTTACATTTGCATTGTTTAAATTTTTTTGCAGTGTTTGCATTTTAATTATTAGTGAAAAATTTTACGCTTTACTTGTTTTCTTTGATCCAAGTGCTTAACAGAAACTCTGTCAATAGAAATATATATAGGTATACAAGGTGTCCCTAAACTTAGTGGCATAAATTTAGGAGCAGATTAAGCGAGTCAAAATAAGACTAAAATCTAAATAAATATTTTTTCTAATTACTTATGTTTAAAAGATACAGGGTGATAAAGTGCAAAATATTACCTTTCCAAGACTACCATAGTAGAAGTTATATTAAAGAAACTGATATAATAAGTAACACTTTATCACCCTGTATCTTGGAAAAATATTTAATTAGGTTTTCGTCTTATTTTGACTTGCTCAATCTTTTCCTAAATTTATGCCAATAAGTTTAATAGTCGATAAAACTTTCAAAAATTAGAAGAAACCTTTTTATGAACTTTAAAGCTTTGTTTTCGAGATAGGGTGTTTAGGTTAATCAAAAAAGTATGGTTACGCCACTGTTTTTTATGAGTTTGATATTATACAGGGTGTCACCAAATAAGTTGTTTTCCTCTATTATTTTTGCATTAGTGCCATTTTTTTTAAATAAAAAAATCATTAAAATTTTTATAAGTAAGGTAGAAACTTTGGGCCGCCACTGGTTGGCCCTGACGCAAAATATGCTTGCACAGTGGGCAATAATCTACATTCATTAAACATTTACATAGTGTTATCTGAGACCCTGTATTCTAGACTTTGGAAATCAATAGAGCTTTAGAGAACGTACTATGCTCCACACCTCAAAGTCCCACCACGTGACCACGTACGGAACGCAGTCTTTTGAAAATTTGGCATTTAAGGCTTTTCAGGTTATGTATCTGTCAAAGTATAGTCAACGAAAGAAATATTATTATGTTTAGGCGTTAAAAATGTATAAATCTTTATAACATTACAATAACAATGGATGGTTTAAGAATTTAAGAATATAAATACTGCATTTAATTAAATTCTAAAGTGTATGGTGCCAAATAAGTAATATTTTTGTGCATTTGGTCAAAATATCTGGTTTTCTCCATAAAATAATTTTAACTAAACAGCATTTATTAAAAAAAATCTAGCTTCTCTATTATGGGATAAGAATATCTGTTTTAAAGGTAGGTTAATATATTATAACAAAAATATCATCTAATTTTGTAATTTTAAGGTTAGAAAAATTTATTTTGACCAAAATAAATAAGTATTTTGGATTATTTAAAAGACTGTATAATATGGTATTTAAAAATGTGGTAGTTTTTCTTTTCCAGCTTAAAGTGTACCTACATAAAGTTTTGTCAATACAAATAGTTACAAAGCTTAGACTAAATTTGATCTACATTGAAAAATCATTATAACTTTAAATTTAATGAGTCACATGTCATGGGAGTATTAAATATTTTCACATTGCAAGTTTCTCTAAAAATTGTTTGTTTTTTTATAATCTAACTTAAAGTAGGTATGCCGAGAGGTATGCACAAGTTTTGTCGTTAGAAGTATAAAAGCTTCAATTTAATTTGAACCATATTCAACAATTATTTAGTATACCTATATTTACTTATGACCATATTAACACACTCTTCCAAATAATCCACTTATTTATTTTGGCCAAAATAGATTTTTCTAACCTTAAAATACAAAATTAGATGATATTTTTTGTTCTAATACATTAACCTACCTTTGATACAGATATTCTTATTTCATAATAGAGAAGTTAGATTTTTTTTAATAAATGCTGTTTAGTTAAAACTATTTTATGGAGAAATGTACACCCAATGCACAAAAATATCACTTAAATTGCACCTTACACTTTGGAATTTCATTAAATGCAGTAATTATATTCTTAAACTCTTAAACCAACCATTGTTATTGTGATACTATAAAGATTTATTAACTTTTAACGCTTAAACATAAGCGGTAACACTATAAATATTATTTCTTTTATTTACTATACTTTGACAGATACATAACGTGAAAAGCCTTAAATGCCAAATTTTCAAAAGACTGCGTTCCGTACGTGGTCACGTGGTGGAACTTTGAGGTGTGGAGCATAGTACAAAATGACACAAAAATGTTTGACTGGTCGGGTTTTGCATTTAGATACCCGATTTCAACAAAATAAAGAAAATAACTATTTTTTTCTCTAGGACCAAACCCAGCAGAACAGGCTGTTTTCGGCGGTGCGAGGGCGGCTGCGGCGAGTCGCCGCCTCCCTCCAGGCCGCAGTCCGATTCAGGCGGATATCCCGGAAGGAGTCCCAGTCCCCCGATTGGTTCGTCGACAAGAGTCACCAGGACGATCACGAGGAGGGGGACAGGAGTCCTGAGCCCACTTGCTGGGGGCACCATATCGTAGTAGACCCTGCCCTACCGTCGCACTATAAGGTAAAAAATATTAAAATTAATTATACGAACCCAAAAAGTTTTAATTTTAAAAATGTAAATAATTTATAGTTAAAAAGTATAAAATAGGTAAATTAATGGGAATAACTATACCAAAAAGCATAAGACGCTTTTTGGTTAATTTCTGAGCACCCTGTACATTTACTGAAGTTTTTACCATTGGCAATTCGACCTGGGGACACCCTCTATATTATATTATACAAACTTTATAAAACAATACACACAAAAATTATATCTCAAAATTAAAAATAATATTTTGCAAAAATGGCGGATGCGCCGGGATGAATACTTTTTTTTAGTTAAATTATTATTTTAAACATAAAAGAATAATTATTATTTTAATGAAAAATCCAAAAAAATAAAAAAAAAATTCAAATTTTGAAGGCTTCACGGAAATATTGGATATACTGTTATAATTGGGATGGGATTTTAGTTATTTTACCTTTTTTCAGCCGATGTAACTATTTGAAAACCAATAATGCCAAAATGTGTTTTAAAAGATTTTCTTTTATATGAACCTAACTTGTTTTCACCTTTTTTACGTTTTTGGAGGTTTTTGCTTCAAACTTACCTTCTTTATACTTTTATTACCTATTTATTTAACTTGTTTTCACCTTTTTTACCTTTTTTGGAGGTTTTTGCTTTAAACTACATTTTTATACTTTTTTTACATATTTTTTAATTTGTCAGTTTATTTTCACCTATTTGTTACCTATTTTTACGTATTTTTACTTATTTTATGCTCTTTTTAAATTTTGCGCCAATATTTCATCCAGGGCGTGCAACTCAACGGTATAGAATTTTTTCTTATGGTCACAGACTGTAACAGTAACTTTCTTTACAGTTACCTTCTTTGTAGCGAGCTTATGTTCTGCCATAGAACTTCTGTGTAGTGAGTGTCACTCAGTGAAACACAGTTTATTGCATATAAATAGTTTATTGTGGGTATGTTCTGTGTTTGGGTATGCGGCTAAACAAAATTATAAACGAAACTTTTAATGTTTTTTTAGTACCTTTTTAGTTACCTATTTTTCAGTTTTAAGTACCTAAATATCCCATCTTTAGTTATAATACATATAATACATATAATAACTTGAAACTTTGAAATTTCTCAGTTAGTATGCGTTTTACGAAAAAATGTTTAATAAAAAAATTAAATGATTCGAGGGGGGAGAAAGAATGTAAAAAATATATTCAAGATCCTTATGGTTTATATCGTAAAGTATAATAAGTGAAATTAATGGAGTTAATTTAAACGTATAAAAATGCGTTTAGCAGTTTTTTGTCGTATTCTTTCACAATTTAAAACAAGTCAGTCTTGTTCTATTATTTTGATCCATTTAGTAAGGCACTAAATAGTTAAAAGTTATATGTATATATTTTAAATGTTAGTGTTGGAAAAAAATTTACACAATCTGTAAATACTTCCTTTAATTTTAGTTTTTAGGTAACTGGTTAAAATTAAACATGTTATAATAAAGGGGTTTATTTAAAATATTTTTTTGGTTTTTGCTTATTTTCAACAATTTAAAACTTCTAAGAACTTGAATATTTTCTTTGAGAAAGAGGTACAAAATTATGATATGTTCTTGTATTTTTAATTGCAATTAAATTCATGAATCACGAACACTCCGTCATTTATTACACTTGCAAACTTGCAAACTTTTTGAAATCACAATTTAAATACGCACAAATAATATTTATGAAATATTTTTGACAGTTCTGACATTTCTCTACCAAACATGAATTGACTAAGTCAAAGCCATCTAAATTTTAAATAAAACTAACAATATCGCTTCTTAACTGCATTAAAAAAATATTATATCTTTTACATGGATAAAAATAACAAAATAAGACTAACTAGACTGAAAAGATGAAGGTGGGGACTACATTTCCTGAAAGTTTCAGATTTTTATTTTTTCCTCAACATAATGATTTCTGAGGGCAAAATTGGCTAATTTTGAAAATTATCAAATTTCAATAATTTTTTTAATAAAGATAATGATAGTCTAGAAACTTAAACTAATAGTTACGTTTTCTATTGTATAAATATCTTGATACCTGAAAAAAAGCATCTTTCTAGATTTAGCAGAATAGGCACAGGAGCCAGACAAAAGTCACAAAAATTGTCAAATTATTACAAATCTTTTGTGGTTTACCATTCTTTTATGAGATGAACTAATTAGATAATAATAATTTATATTGAAAACATACTTACTAGGCAGTAATATTTCAATAATTTCCACAGAAAAGTAAGAAAATGGCACGATTTCAGGTTTCCGATTAAAAATAAAGCAACTAAAAATTAAAACGGCAACGGTTTTTCATATATGATACCTAAAAGATCATCCTCAAATTTTTTCATTAAAATAAAAAACTCATTTATATTATATATTATATTTATATAAAGAAATTTAGGACAATATAATTAACAGTACCACAACACTGATGTATTTTTTTCCTTTGTTAATATAATTACAAACCCAGTTTTTCTCATATTAAACCTAAAGATGATATTATTACATAAAATGTTTCTTTTTGTGTTATTGCTTTTACACGAACCATATAATAAATTCATTAATATGTAATCATTAACATATCAACAAGGCACGTTTGAGTCAGAATCTAGGATGTAGAACCTAATTAGAGGCCCATATTGCACGTATTTGCATTAATCTAATGCTTCACCTGCAAGTTTACTTTGGCACATTGGAAGTACATAATTACTAGTGACCTTTGACTTTTAGCCTAAATCAGAATAGTAGCAAATTATATTAATATTCATTATTAAGTAACGTAAATTATAAACAAGTCCCTTTATCTATTTAAAATTAGTCAAATTAATATTTTCTTATTATAAATCTATTTTTGTGTTCGTATTTATTTTGATCGATGCAAAATTAACAATGTCATTCAGTATTTCGCATTTCCATTCAGTCAAATTTATTATTTTGGTCGGAATTTTATGCACTTAAATTTGCGACTTTATTTTCTATTATATTATAATGTAGTTTTTATACTGTTACACAAAAATATACAATGCTCTATTTTAGCCACATTATTTATTTTTTTATATTTAAAAAAGTTCGCACGTTACTTTGGTAGTACGATTTTTGTTTTTTTGTTAAGAGCAGGGCTGTGTTTAAATTACAACAAATAATATTTCTAAAAAGTGTACAGATCAGTGTGTGGTATAAATGTGTTCCTCGTGGTTTAAACATTGTCACTTTAATGCGTTTTAATTTTAATTCTGAAAACAAACAATAAAATGGCCAGTGTCCAATTACTGGTTGGTAAAAAATGTAAATTTCTATTATTTTCATATCATACTCTATTTGTATTCCGGACATTTACCAGCCAATTTTTAAGTAAAATTGTCCCCTGATTTCAAAAAGACCGTCAAAAACTATAAAAGAAGCAGTTTTTGAGATATAGTCATTTCCATATTATATGTAAAATTGATTATATTTCAAAAACTGTTCTCCTTTTATAACTTTTGACATTTTCGGATTCAGCGAATAATATTTCATAGGAATTGACTGCTAAATGTCCTGGATACAAATTGCTGTTGACGAGAATTATTAGTGGATGCTTTTTCGCTATGACATTTTTGACTAATTCATTTTTAAAGAGTAAGTAATACAGTGATTTCTTCGTCACAGGACAACTTGCAGAATAACAGTGATTTAAATGCAATGCATGATAGAGAACATAAAAAACCAATGGCAACAAAATTAATAAATTCGGAAAATACTTTTAACATACCACCCGAAAAAATATTAGATATATATCATCCTGTTCAGGCCTAAACATTATAAATGCTTCACAAACTAGAGATACCACACTTAATGATATTTGCAACAAACTATTTCAGAAGTCAGGTCAAGGAATTAGTATTTACCTTCAGAATCCAAAAAAGGGATAAGGAATCCGAGAAAGAAATATATGAATTGTATGATATTTAAAAAAACGAAATAAAAAAATGACTTAAAAGAGCAATTTAACAATTTATATTATTTGATGTAAAGTTGTTATGTGTATATAAAAATTGTATGTCCAATCACTATAGTCCATGTGTTCAATAACTATATAAAATGTAATGTAAAATTACTATACTTTTTTGCATGTTTTTATAAAACTATTATTAAAAATTAAAATATTCTTATTTTTAAGTAAACGTAAATAAAGTTTAAACACACAAACTATCCTTTTTATATATTTATAAGAAAACAACTAAAATCTTTAAAACAACAGCATTTATTAATTTTAAATAAATAATATTCCTTAAGTGTCAAATACCTATGTGGTTTTTAAATTCAGTCGGAAAAACAATTTTTTTTTTATATCCAACAATAACTTTTTAATTCAAGTAACGTACTTTAAATTTTCTGTAAAAATTCGTTATTTATTTTCAAACTTTGTATTGAGATTCTAATGATTATTGAAGTTAGTGATAGATGTCGAAATTAGACAGAGGTAGCTCGTTTATTAAACAAAGCGCATCCAGAATTTGCCAGGGGACTGTTCCTAGATAAAGCCAACCTATTATATGCGAAGCCTAATTTACCCACCACACGGAGAGAAAAGTATAATGCTGATTACCATAATTATAATACCCTTTACTATAATTTATATTACGATTTGGGACAACTATCATGTATATTGCCAGATATTATGCATATTTAGTTATTTTTAAATATCCATGTATGTTAAACCTTAAGGTAAAATATTATTATTCTCAACCAATTTTGTTTTTAATTCTTATTATAATTAGATTTTTTCCATTACTAATAAGTATAGTAAATTTTAAAATATTATGTTGCCATTTTAAATATAAAATATTTTAAAATCGAATATTTTTGTATGTTAACAATTAAAAATTGTAACATATTTATCTTACTTTTTAATATACAAAAATGTTATGAGGAAGAATTGAAACTACACCTCGCCAAAGTTTTTTGTTTTGAGTGCGTTCCATCAAC